TCCCGGTGAGTGCTCGGGCTGCCGCCGCGACCGGTGCCAAGCGGTACCGCTGACCGCCGGCGGTTTCTCGGGGCGAGGCGGGGGCCCTCGGCCCAACGCCGGCGGTGGTGCGGCGGGGAGGGCGGGTACCCGGGCCCTGTCGGCCCTGGGGAATGGCCGGCGGGTCAGCACTCCGGCAGCCCGGGCGCGGGGCGGCGGCTGGGCCGGGCCGGGCCGGGGCCTCTGGTCAGCCGAAGCAGTGGCTGCGCTGCCCTGGCTCGGTGGGAGCGGAGCTCTGGGGCTCCTCGGAGAGCCCCGGCTCTCCGCGTCACCGGGACAGGACTCGCCCAGCCCGGTGCTTGGCCGTTGGCTGTGGCCAGCTCTGGAGGCACAGGGGGAAAGGTAGGGGCCGGGCACGTATCTGAGGCTATGCCTTCACCGATTTTCTTTTTTTCCTGTTCTGTGAAAACGAGGGTGTCAGGCCATAAGCAAGATAGCTGGTCTCATCTGCGGCTCTGGGGGTCCCTTCCTGTTCCTCTGTCAGATAATTTTAGAAGGTGGAAACTAGTAAGTTGGCTTTGAGTGTCGCTGCAGTAGCCCAAGCTATTTCCACCTGTGAATCAGCCTTTTTTCAGTTATAGTGTTAGACTTTCAGTGGGTCTTAACCCATGTGTGTATATATGTAGTGTAACTTGATTATGCAGGCTTTAAGTAAATGTCCCTTTTTCATATTATCTTTTAAAACAGCTGTTTAAACAGCTGTTATCTGTTAAAGCTGTTATCTTTTAAAAAGTTTGCGCGTTAAAGAGTACTGCTTGTTTAGCTAGACAAATTTTGGTTAGAGGTTTATACTAGATGGATAGGCAGTCTGTCTCTTCAGAGCTGTTTCACTGCTGTTTATAAAAACCCCAGTATTTCTGCTGCCCCTGTTTTTCAGCAGCAAGTGAAGAGGTCTTGGGAGTCTGTGCAGTAGAACGATGACCTGGGAGCTCAGTGCGGAGGTGCCCAGGCTGCTTGTGCTGAAGGCAGTTCAGACTGTGTAGACCTCATGGCCTTGCGCAGCACGAGGCCTGCTTGATACAGCCTGGATTGTTTACTGTGGGGCCCTGCCAGATTTAAACCTGTTCAGTGCATTTGTGGAGTGCTGCATCAAAGCTAAAAAGCTTTTGCAGAACTACAGATGCTCTGAACGCAGCATATACACATTCTGCAGTGCAGTCACTGCTAATGCCCTTCTGGCTACCTGCCAACCCAAGCTGCCTACCTGCTAGGACAGCTTATGTGTCTTTTTGTCTGTAGTGTGGCTCACAGCTTGGATGGACTGTATGTGAAAAGTTGTATTAATTTCTATACTGGGCATCCCTTAGTAATCCTGATGGCTTATAAATCCTTAATGTGCCAGAGAAAGCAGTTGATATTAAAGTGCTTAAACTCATCCCATTAGCATAGTATTTGCATTACTCTCATTGTAAAGGTGTTGGAAGAAGCTTTTGGAGTTCGACAGTGGAAACATTTGGGTTTTAGGACATAATTAACTTTTTGTATTTGGAGATCTGTGGAACTCTGGAAACTAATTTTAAATATTGAGTATGTACCTGGCGGCTGTGTGTTGGTCATCCTATTGACTTTCTTAGCTCTTATATCTAAGTGTTCTAGTTAAGTTTTGTCCATGGCTGCAGTTCTAGCAGCTCAAAGCTTACTGAGATGCAATGCTATTTTTAAACATGTTTTTTTGCATTGTTGTGATTTTCATGGGAAACAAGCTTGAAAAACATTTTGAACATCTGTTCTGCTGACACCCTTTAGTAGATCATATTGATGATAATGCTTTTTCAGAATTATTCTGCAAGAATGTGACTTGCGTGCATCGTAAGGAAAGCTTGTTTTCCCACTTCAGATGTCATGCAGAAGTCCTCTTCTAGCAAAGCAAGAAGATGGACATCCATATCTTCTAATGTACTGATCTGCAAATATTTTACAGGCAGAGTTCCTTAGGAAGCAGAGACTTAATTTTTTTTATGAAATGTCGAGGTACATGGTAATGTATGTCACTTTGGAATTGGGTCTACATACAATGCACATTAAATCTAAAATGTGTAAATATATTTATTTGCATCATTTGCTACACCTGAGGCCTGTACTTAGACTGAATGTATTTATCCTACATCTTCTGAAACTTCTGGAGACTTTGTTCTGCATTGTGGCCTCAGTATTGGAGGGGTTGGACTGGCAGTTGTTTGTTATTTTTTAACCTGCCAACTTCATGACAATATTAACTCTCAATTAGGCAAAGCAGTCAGGAGGTTGGCTTGCATAGGTGACTTATTTTATCTACTTTGGAATATGTCTTTTTACTTGTTTATAAACACATTCTAAGCCTTGCTTTTTGGGGCCCGTGCAGCTAGTAAATCTCAGTGTGTATATAATGAGCTTCTTTCTATCTTACCTAGGCTGGAGCCCTATCTCTTAAAATAAGAGTTGTAGCTAATGATGTATTCTTCATTTTACTAAATGGACCAGCCTTTCATGTCTGTTTTCTTCTCTACTCATTTGAGGGGGACAGCGGGGAAGTCCCAAAAATCTTGAAAACTCTGAGCTACTTTGATTACGGAGGCTGTCATTATTGGGAAGTTTGCTTTTAATTCTAAAAGGAGGGAGTCAAATGTGAGATTCTGAATTCAGCTATCAGCAAGGGAGTAGTTTCAGTTGGGTACAAGAAACCAACTGTGAGATTGGAAGACAAGAAGTATCTGAAGTGCTGCATTTCAGCAGTAACCATGGCACTGCATATTTTTTGCTCTTCAGACAAATTTTGGTTTGCCCTTTTTCAGAATTTTAGATTGCTGTTTCTGTCATGTGTTCTTCTGACTATCTTGCCACCTTGTATAGGAGGTGGAATAGTTTAGCATGTTGACTAGACTGTGTGTACCCTTCAAAAATTGGCTTTCTGTAGTTTCCTAACTGTAAGCTGTGGTATGCTTTAGGCTTATGTGTAAGATTTGTGTCTCTAGTGAGTGAAAATAGTCTGGTTTTTCAATAAAGCCATTAAAAAATACAACGTGAATTTTGCTTATTAAAATGTGGGTATGTTTGTAGGGTTACTGAAATGGGAAATTCAGTTTGATTTAGCATAAGGTAGATGAAGTAGAACCAATAAATAATGTTCAATTTTGCTAGCAAAATATTTTGCTTCTGATCATACTGTGTTTGCAGGGTGCTGAGCTTAGGCTATTCTGCTTGGTTTTATTCTGTCATGTAGCATATTGCTGATAAGATAAAAAGCAGTTAGCATTCTTTCTGGAAGTCTGTCTGGACTGTTCTTTCATGGTGAATTCAATGCACAAATATTCCAGACAGTGAAATGCTTCCTAATTGCAGTGTGGTATCTCTATTTTTAAGTAGGCCATCAGGATAGCCTAAAATTAACTTCAGGCCAATATTTCCTAAAAATAACTCTAAAAAAGTAAAACTTGTGCACTTTCTGGAATGCAAAGCAGATTTCTTAACGCAAAAGATACTGGAATAATTAATTTGCTAAGGCAGAGCTTCAGCTAGTTTTAAATTTAATTTTTAATTGTTTTCCAGATTCTTCTGAGTTGTACTTGAAGCCGCCAAAATGGTTCTAGCAGATCTTGGAAGAAAAATAACTTCAGCGCTACGCTCACTGAGCAATGCTACAATTATCAATGAAGAGGTATGTAGTATGCATGTGTGATGGCACTTACATTTAGAAAGCAAGAGTTCTGGGAAAAAGTTCTCAAAGGCTGATGAGAAGCTTGAAGTAGGTTGACGTTATCCTGAGGCTCTTTTATTCCTTCAAATGAAATTTCTAGCTAGGGTTTTTAACCTCCTGATAGTACTGCCAAAACTTAGAACCAGATTTAGATGTGTAATCACCTCGGGCATAGTGGGTCACATGGTGAAAGGGTCCTTGAGCCTGGTGGCTGTACTTAGAGATTAGTGTTCTGAGGAGGTGATGCTGGAGGAGGCAATATGTGCCTCAGTTTGGGTGGAAGGTAGGCTGTGAGACTACATGGAGTGCTCTCATTTATGTGTGTGTGCACAGCTAGACTATGGCGATGTGTACTAGGCTGCTAGAAGCTGAAGTGTGGAAGAACAAGTAGCTTTCAATGCAAACTTTGCTGTCTGAAATGTGAGGATTATGTTATGTTTACTGCCTTTATATTCAAACCAATACGGAGTGTGGTTCTGGAAGCTATTTAGGTTGGTATAGTCTGTGCTTTTTTTAATTAAGAGTTTGAAAGTATAAATAAGTGTTTTCTGTTATGGACTGAAAAGCAAGATGGAAAACTAAATGATGTGATGGTTTAGAAGTGCCTCTGAGTAAACAAATTGCTAGAAACTCCTTTCAGGTAGGCAGGCAGGTGGCTTAAAGTAACTAAAAAGTAGGCTTATCAAGGGTTGTAGGGTTGGAATTTGTGCATAGAGGAAAGGTTTTAACAAATCTTCAGCTGGGAGACAAAAAAATCCTTAACTGAATCAAATATAGGCCAATTAATTTTTTTTTAGCAGTAGATACTTTTCTTCTGCAAAAGCTCAAGCTGTGCAAATGAGGTCATTTATGCAGGTGTTACTTTCAAAAAATCTTTTTGTTCAAGACTTTTCACTTTGAAAAGTCTTAGAACTACTAAACTGGGTTCCTGAGGCACCTGTTCACCTAAAAGGCGTACCCCAGAGCAGCAGTCCAGTTTCTGCTGAGAACGCAGATGGTAGTGTGTCCATCTTGCATTTAAGGAATACTTTTATTTACAGAGATTGTCTTGTGTTAAGAGATTTGTTTGTGGCTTTCTGCTACAACTGTAAGGAGTACCTATAGGGAAGTTTAGGAAGTATTGCTACCATATGAGCTGCTGTTGTCCTTAATGCAATAGGTGGTGTTCTGTGTTACTTTGTTATAGTGTGCATATTGCAGATTGAGGACCCTTCTTTTCCAGTATTGCCCTTTCAAATTTAAATTGCATTTACATAGGAACAAATGCATAGACTTTTTTTGTGACAGTCAATGTAATGATAGGACTGCATGCATTTAATTTGTAAAAGCCTTGGATATATCATAAATACACTTTCGCATTCCTATTTTGAACTAATACTGGCCTAGTCAATACTGTGTATCGTAAAACCATTTTTCTTTTATACTCCAAAGGTTTTAAATGCTATGTTAAAAGAAGTATGTACAGCATTACTGGAAGCTGATGTTAATATTAAACTTGTGAAGCAACTCAGAGAAAATGTCAAGTAAGTGAAATAATCAAAATGCATTTAACTTCTAATATTTGTAAAAGTTGTAATTTGAGGTTACAGAAGAATAACTAACTTCTAACTTTATACGGTTTTCTTAGACACAGCTAGTTTACCTTTAACAGGAAAGTACAGTTTGAACTAGATGTCTAACCAGTTCCATGCAAAGAATCCTTGTCAAGTTTAGCCATTATTGCTGTTATAGTCTTGTTTCAAAAAACTGTTGCTGTCATCAGTTGAGTGGTATAATAAACAAGTTCTTTGTTACTTCCTAGACACCTCATCTTCACATGGTCTGTGCTGGATATAAATAGATCTGTGTATATGACCAGTACTGTTACCTTGGCTATTTTCAGATGTGTAATTCAAGTAGATGCAAGTCTGAAAGATGCAAGTGTTTTAGAAACCTGTTTTTGTCCTGCATACAGAAATAATATGTCCAACGCATGTCTCTTCTTAAGTATGTCCTATCTGAAAACTCAAGGCAAATCAGAGTGCTGTTCCAGTTGCAAAGACTTCATTTATTACTAGGTTAAAGTGATGCTTTAAGTTATGCTAGTGTTTCATGGTTTTCCTAAACTCAGGTCTGCAATTGATCTTGAAGAAATGGCATCTGGCCTTAACAAAAGAAAAATGATTCAGCATGCTGTCTTTAAGGAACTTGTTAAGGTAGGACTTCAAAATTCTGTATTATGCCACTTTTCTTGTACAGCCTGGGCTGTGGAAGCAGTACAGTAGCAAGCCAAGCTTTAAGGTTACTGTGTGGTACCTGCAGTTATGTTTTCCATTGTAAGGCTTCTTACTATTGCAAACAGTAATATTCTTCTGATTGAAACTACTTCCTGGGCATTTCTCAGATTAACTTCAATTTAAGCTTCAAGTTCAGCTGTTGTTACTCTTCAATTGAAATTTAAAGACAAAATAAGGGGGTGAAGTACTACTAGTTTCTGGACTGTCTTTGTCCCAGAAACATGCCTTTGCTGCCCGAATGAAGATTTGTTCAAACTACTTATAAGCCTTTGAAAAAGTGTTAAGTAACAACCCAGCAGTTCATGGCAACATTTCTCTTTAATCTGCCTTGGTCAAATCAGCACCTAGGTATCAGTATTCTGTCCTCCTTCCAGTTAACAGTACAGTTTTTTGTTCTTCCATAGCCTGTGCCCACCCATATGATGGCTGTCTGTAATGTATATACCTTCTACTCATTCAAGAAGTGAGGCAGCAACCCTAAAAAGTCTTCTGTACTGTAGGATTCTCACCAGAAGAGGTCATCTTGAGCAGTGATGGTGGGGTGGAGGTCATGTTTCTGTGGTGGTTGTTATACTTGTGCTGTATATACAGGCCACCCTGACTTTGGTGCTTGGTGTTAGAAAGAAATTAACACTGTTATTGTTACAGAATTATTATGCATAACACTATATACTATAATTATCTTGCACAGGCTGTTGCTGTTCACTGTAAATCAGCAAGCATTTAAGCCAAGACTAGAATATGCAAAAATTGGTTTGCTCCATTGAATATAAAACCAGGCACCTAGCATGACTGTGATGCTGACTGTTCTGTGCTTCTAAAATTCAGTTCTGCAACATACATTATACTTTGTTCTTTAGCTTGTAGATCCTGGAGTCAAAGCATGGACACCTACCAAAGGAAAACAGAATATTATAATGTTTGTTGGTTTGCAAGGAAGTGGTAAAACAACGACCTGTTCAAAGGTAACTTGCACTGAATCTGTTTGCCTGGATTTTTTTTTTTCTTGGGGGAGGTGGTGGTCATTGGACTCCTTTGGTAGGATTTGGTTGTGATTTGTGCTGTTTCTATTAGTAGGAAAGTGCTAACTGATTACAATGTAGAGATATTTTTGTAGAGGGGTTTCTGAGATGAGATGAATGTCCAAAGTAATATTCTTTTGGGGCAATTTATGGCTTGTAGGACTTCCTTCAAGTTTTTTTTAAACTAAACTCTTGATGAAACAATACTGTATATGGATAAGAAAGATTTTTTTTCTATTCTTTGCTTTCTGGGTTTAAGACTAGTACTATGAATGGAACCTATCTCATTCCATTACCTATTTAGAGGAACCAGTGGAAGTTGGCCTCTGTGTTAGATAGCTCAGTTAAGTATGAGTGGGTGGTGTGAAACATCTTAGAGCCCCCAATTCATTGAGGAAATTTGGATTTGTATTTACAGCTAAAAAGGAATGCTCTGAATCGATGCTTAACCTATTTATGATGGTTGTTGGGAGGAAAAATTACTCTGTGGAAAAAGACTGATGCATCTTTGTTGCTTTTTTCAGTCATCTGGTTCTGAGATTCACACATAGGCTATACCGAATATATCACTGCTCTGATTTCATAAGACTTTCCTAGTGCTTCTGTAGGCAAACTATATTTTGGAAGTTTGTCTTTGGTCAATCAAATGTTCCGTGAATATACATTGTACCAGTGAAGCTGTTACAAGAGAGTAAGGATTCCATCCATTGCTTTAAAACATGTCCTTGCTCTGGAAGTACAGAAAGAGCTGTACAAGTTGTAGCCGTTACAGTACTTCAATATTAAGTACTTACTGCTGCGGGTAGTTTCTAAAAGCTAGTCCTATCTGCAGTATTAACAGTAAGCAGAATCCAGGAATTAGTAGAATGGGAACTGGAATTATTTGTAGTCATTCCTAGCTCTGGAAACTGAAATCAGAAGCAGAGTCAAGCAGCTGTTTTCATCTTGCCATTAATAATTAATTGTATAACATACTTTTCTAAGTAACAGAGAGGCTAACATTTAATACTTGTACAATCTTACTAAGTGATCTCAGTTATAGGAAGGCTGGCTTGACTTTGTGTCCTCTGTATGTACTTCAGTGACTTATAAGCTGTAATACAGTGTCATGCTTTCTAGTGGGATTTTGGTGTAACTACTTGTTTTGGATTTCTTTTCACAGTTAGCATACTTCTATCAGAGGAAAGGTTGGAAGACGTGTTTAATATGCGCAGACACATACAGAGCAGGTAATATGGTCTTTAATGATGTGGTTCTTTAATACTTGCAGATTTTTTTAAATAGTCCCTTGACTATACCTGTCTTACAGGTGCTTTTGACCAGTTAAAGCAGAATGCCACAAAAGCAAGAATTCCCTTTTACGGGAGGTAAGCATCTTTCAGAATCAGTTTGGAGAATGATTCAACTCCAACGATGTATTGTTCCTTACTGAACATCTCACACTAAGCCCCATTCAGTGTTGCCTAATTACTTAGATTTTATTATAATATTTTCTCTGATCAGATGACAATTCTGCCTAGTTCAGTATACTGGCTGCCAGTCATAGCAGGTAGAGATAGTGTAAGAAAGAGATCAGGCATCCAGCGGTAATTCTGTTGAATGTTCTTTCAGTGTATAGCAGTTTATCGGCCTTTACCAGACATATTCAGATTTTCAGGAAGTATCTTTGCAGATCAAAGGATATGATTTTTGGACCTTTAATTTTTATTGCCAAGTAGGGGCAGCAGTGGACCTAAAATAGCTTCTATAAAGCAGTAAATAACTTTACCCTAAGCTTCACTGGGTGTGTACTGTCTAGGTGCTCAGTTAAATCTTGTTTCAGAGGAGGGCTAGTAGAACTTAGTGCAGTCTTCAACAGGTGAGACAGACAGTCCTTTGTGCTTCGGTTTGCTGTGAATAGTAAGGGCAAATGGCTTAGGAAGGCATATTTTTAATCAATTTTTGCTTGACATACAAGGAAGTCCCTCTTGAAATCCAGATAGATTTACAGTTCAGTTTACAGTCAAGTGATGAGCGTTTGAATTCATTTCTTTGGGAACAAAGAATTGCATATATATAGATGTTTCTCTTTGTGATCAGTTATACAGAAATGGATCCTGTAATTATTGCCTCAGAAGGTGTTGAGAAGTTTAAGAATGAAAACTTTGAAATAATCATTGTTGATACAAGTGGACGTCACAAACAGGAAGACTCTTTGTTTGAAGAAATGTTACAAGTTGCTAATGCCATAGTGAGTAGTTTTAAGAAATACAATGACTTCTGTTACAGTAATTTGACTAGAGTTAATTTATGTTTATCTCCTAAGGTTCTGTGTGGATTTTGCTCCTCTGGAATGTGTCAGTGCTTTAACTCCTAGATTATATTAGAAATTACAAATGGATATGAACAAACAAGAACTGGATGATCAGTACTTGATAGTTCTGTGTCAGTTTTAATTCTTGTGTCTGTAATTCAAGGATGCTTGCACATAACTAGACTACTGTTCCTGCTTTAACTGTTCCTTTTCAGGATCTTTGCATTGAGAAACTAGATAAAAGAACCAGTCTGATCTGGTTTCCTGTAGCTATGTGTACTAAATTTCCTGTAATTGTCTGAATAAGTGCCCTGAAACAGAGAAGATGATTGGATAACTTTCAACAGTTTTGATATGTAAATGAAGCTGGTGTTTCTTGTATGGCTTTAAAAAGTCTGGCTATTTGTTTGATTCTGTGGTCTTGCATGACAATATGATGCTTCCCACACAACTCCCACTAATGGCTAACTTGTTTTCAGAGGAATGGATGTCTTAAAGCTCTTACTGTAAAACTAGAATATGTTGTTAGCCATTAATTGCTTGTAGATACTAATTACCTTATTGGCTCAGATACTGGCTAAAATCACTCAAAACATAAGTAATAACTGTAAACCTATTAAATTTTAATATTCTGCTTTGTAGATGAGTCTTTCACATAGTAACACAGCATCAGAGTTTTAGAATGGCCTTTAGACAGTACTGTTGATAAAACAGTTGCCCTTTTGCTTTATATACTGTTATTGCAGTAAGTTCTGCTACTGAACATAATGCACGAACACTGTTTAAGAAAGCAAGAAATTATTATTTTGTGTGTGTCTCATTTCTCCCAGCAACCAGATAACATTGTTTATGTGATGGATGCTTCCATTGGCCAAGCTTGTGAAGCTCAAGCTAAAGCTTTCAAAGATAAAGTAGATGTAGCTTCTGTTATTGTTACTAAGCTTGATGGACATGCAAAAGGAGGTGGAGCTCTTAGTGCGTAAGTATTGTGATGTTATAGTGTCCCAACATCTGGCCATGCATGGACAACCATGAAATGTGTTGCTGTCTTGCAGAAACCTGTCCTGTGAAAGTGTCACTGTCACACGCATAGAATCTGAGATCTAAGTCAGTAACAGTTATGTTCTTACCCCACTTCTGGTGGATAGGATCACCCATTGATGTTTAACGTCAGTCAGAATCAGATATTATGATGTACTTCCAGTACAGTAGTGTGTATGGTCACATCAGACTTCTGAAAACAGCATCAAGCAATTATATTTACAGCATCTTGCGTCCCAGGAGATTTTACTGAAAAATATAAATTTGAACTTAACAGATATGGCTTGCCTGAAAAGTTTTGCTTCTCATTTAATACACAAGGTTTGTTTCCAAAAGGGGAAAAACTCTAGCTAGTTATATCTAATGGCCTTAAAACTGCGATGCAAATCAAACTTTTGGATTGCTGGTGTCGAGCAATTTGGTAAGAAATTAGTCTGCAGTCATACTTTCCCGAATTCCATCCTCATTGGACTTCCTGTGTGCTGTATCTTGACAGACACTATTGACTAGGAAATGTTACGTTTTATCTTCAGCCTTACATGATGGCATGTCAGACTAATCTCCAGATGCATTTCAATGATACAGTTTGTATGGAGCTGAGATGATTTATCAAAACAGCTAAAGTTAACAGACACAAACTTACTAAATCATTGTCTGATCTTAAGTGTTAGAGTTCTTAAACTGGCAAATGTATTTTGCTGTTATTTATAGTGTAGTGATGGAAAACTAAAGAGCAAAATGAAAATACCAAAAGCTTGTTCCAGTTGTCATGTGCTTGTATGTGTTAGTTGTGCTGGTTTTGTTCTATACCTTCTGTAGACTGGAAGCTGAGTTTATCTGAAAGCTAGTGCCAGTGATTGATTGGTGAAGAGGTTCTGATTTTTCTTATGTCTAAGCTTTTTTGTTGAAAATGGGATTGCTGTCTGTTGTAGGAGGTACCTTGAAGAAAAAGTAATCAATGCTTGTGTTGTGGTTTAACCCCAGCCAGCAACTAAGCACCACACAGCTGCTCACTCACTCCCCTCCCACCCAGTGGGATGGTGGAGAGAATCGGGGGGGCTGGGGGGGGGGGGAAAACTCATAGGTTGAGATAAGAACAGTTTAATAGAACAGAAAAGAATAAACCAATAATGATAATAACAAAATGACAATAATAATAATCAAAGGATTGGAATATACAAGTGATGTACAATGCAATTGCTCACTACCCGCTGACCGATGCCCAGTTAGTACCCGAGCAGTGATTCCTCCCAGCCGCAGTCCCCCCAGTTTATATACTGGGCGTGATGTCACATGGTGTGAAATACCCCTTTGGCCACTTTGGGTCAGCTGTCCTGGTTGTGTCCCCTCCCAACTTCTTGTGCCCCTCTAGCCTTGTTGCTGGCTGGGCATGAGAAGCTGAAAAATCCTTGACTTAATATGAACACTACTTAGCAACAACTGAAAACATCAGTGTGTTATCAACATTCTTCTCGTACTGAACCCAAAACATAATACTGTACCAGCTACTAGGAAGACAATTAACTCTATCCCAGCCGAAACCAGAACAGCTTGTCTCTTCTGACCTCCCAATATTGGGATAAAATGGAGATTGTTTATTTTTCTTTCTTTCCTCTCAGTTTCTTAAACTCAGCAATGAAAATAAGCAACTTCTATTTCTGTTGATGATTTTTTCAAAGCAGAGTTTGTATTTTACAGAGTTCTAGTTAGAGAAATATCTTGTCAGCTACTCCCAGCTACCCATCCTAAATGCTGGATGTTTTTCCGTTAATAGTTTGAGGAGTAACAAAGATACTTCAGTGAGGATGCATTGTGTTGATGATGCCTAGCTAATTATGTTAATAGGTGGTACAAAAGATGGGTGGTTTTTGAGAGGCCATTTTATAAAAGGTGTTTTATTGCAGAGTTGCTGCCACAAAGAGTCCTATTATTTTTATTGGAACTGGCGAACACATAGATGACTTTGAACCCTTTAAAACACAGCCTTTCATCAGCAAACTTCTCGGTATGTACTACGTACAACTGTACTTAAAAGACACTTTCAATCGGATAATAGAAAGTCAAAGTGTAATTTTTTTAATTGTAACTTCAGAGTTGTTGTTTTTTTTTTCCCCCAGGTATGGGTGATATTGAAGGATTGATAGATAAAGTAAATGAGTTAAAGTTGGATGATAATGAAGCACTCATAGAAAAGCTCAAACATGGTAAGTTATTTCCAAGGCCTGAATAGTGGGTGTATTACCTGCCATGATTACATCATGGTTCTCTCAGATGTAGACCACTGAGTTAATTTGTATTATGTGTTAGAGACAAGTAACTTGTTTCCTGTGCATAGTGAAGAATGGTTATTCTTTCTCTGATAAATGTGGCAGGCAAGTAAATTGAGTTATGTTTTTGAGTGGTAAGTCTGTCAGACTATAACTCTCTATAACTGCAGAATATCTCTTTAAGTGTCTGCCATCTAAAATGGTTTAGCCATGTTGATAATGGAGAAGAGGTTTATGTATCTACTTATCTATGCAGTGTAGTATTTAACTTGTAAATATAAAATAATTGAGAAAGGACAGTAAGACCAAAATGCTAGTGTGACTTTTGCTAATCTTTTTTTTTGTTGTTGTTGTACTTCAGGTCAATTTACGTTAAGAGATATGTATGAACAATTCCAAAACATCATGAAAATGGGACCATTCAGTCAGATCTTGGTTAGTTATCCCCAAAATCATTTTATTTTACCAGATTTTCATTTATATTTGACAAACATGCTGTAAACTTAAAACTCTTCATTGAAACTGGTGCTAGAGTCTGGGCTTTATGTTTTTCAAAAAGGTGAAATAATTTGCCTATTGCAATACATAACTACTGAACTAAAACTTGCTGTCCATATTTCCGGCTGTTTAACTAAAGTTAGCTTTGCCTATTCTGACATGGCTTTTGTTTTCCATTTTTAAAACAAGGGTATGATCCCTGGTTTTGGAACTGACTTCATGAGTAAAGGCAATGAACAGGAATCAATGGCAAGGCTAAAGAAACTGATGACTATAATGGACAGTATGAATGACCAAGGTAAAACAAATTTCACTCACTATTTTTTTTTCCCCCCCTCCATTTTTTAACAAGCTTATTTACAGAGATTTTGGAAACAAGTTGGATATAAGGCAGCATCTACAGTGACAGAAAATGATGAGAAGCATTTATAACTCTTAGAAATGGCAAAGATATGTATGTGTGTCTCAAACTTTCCGAATAAGTCTAAATATTTAGAGACATACCTTGACAATTGCTTGTTGCTGCTCTCTTATGTAGAGTAGGTGGGATTTTGAAGCATTCTATTGGAAATTAATGTATTTTTCATACTGTAAGTGTGCTTCTTTAATTATTAATGCTATACTTGCAAATTAAAAAGCTACATTCATCTTTAATCTGTCATTGCTGTCTTTCTTCCTACCCATCCTCAAATTTACATGGTGACATAGCCTGGTCTCTGGAATTCAAGGTGTGTTGCTTCTAATCCACCCATAACTCTTGCAGGACAAGTATGCTCTTACCCTTGTGCTAACCCCTTTAATAGGGCTTAAGACCAAGTAAGTATGCTGAGAGCATGATTTAGTCAGGTGACATTTTCTATCATAGTGATTAACATAGGAACATAACATCTCTTCAGTACTATTCCCTAGAACATTATATCTCAATTATTTATGTAAAATTCTGCATTATCACTTCTAAAACTAGGGTTTTGTTCTCTGGCTCAAAACTAAATTCTCGACAATAATGAGCACAAATTTGCTACAAGCTGTAACAGATTTTAATGTCAGTAACTGAATGGATTTTTATTTTCCATGCTGTAATTGCAGAACTTGACAGTACAGATGGTGCCAAAGTTTTCAGTAAGCAGCCAGGAAGAATCCAAAGAGTAGCAAGAGGTTCAGGTGTTTCTACCAGAGATGTTCAGGAGCTTTTGACCCAATACACTAAGTTTGCACAGATGGTGAAAAAGATGGGAGGCATCAAAGGGCTTTTCAAAGGTAAAAAAAAAAAAAAAAATTTCGGGTTTTTTTTTTTTTTTAACTCAGTGGGGAGGTCACTTGATGTGTGAACACAGAGGAAATGTGAAAATGTCGGTTAGGCGTTGGAAGAAGAGAAAGAGAGTTGTAGCTCACTTATTTTCATGATGTTTGAAAGCTCTTTTATGTAACTGGTGAGAGCTGCACTGTTCTTCGTGACACTAATGTGTAACTTAGCAGTGAAAACTACTGTATTTTTGGCTTTATCAATGTAGACTTCCTTACTGCTACAATACTGACACTTCAGTCTGTTATGTGGGGCACAGGGACTGTTGATCCTTAAAATACTTTTAAGTGGCTGATGTAGTAACTTTTGATCATGGACTCTAATGGATTTGAATCTGGAATTAGGAGGTAAAATTCTGGTTTGTTTTATTTTTAGCCCCATATATTAATCCACTTTCTTACAATTGCTTCTTTTTTTTTTTTTTTTTTTTTTGGGGGGTGATATGTCAAAGAATGTAAACCCATCTCAGCTGGCCAAACTGAATCAGCAGATGGCAAAGATGATGGATCCAAGAGTTCTTCATCATATGGGTATGTGTTGCCTTTTACAGCTTCAAGAGAGGACTAGCAATTACGGTGGAGCCTTTGAAATATAGTGAGGAAGGTGATGTGAGAATGCGTGTGTAGAAAGTTTAGTCCGTATGTTATGAATGCTTTGCACTTACCAGTGCTTAATCTAGTCTTTTCGTTTGGATTCAGCTCCCAAAATGAGCAATTGGAGTGGTATCTGGTGAAATAGTAAAGTGATGACTTGAAGCTTGACTGTGGTAAAGCAAATTTATTCCTAAACTTCCCTTCCCTTCTCTTCTAAGCTTTGCCTCAAATAATTAAATTTGACAAGAGCAGCTTTAAATAAATACTCCCATACTCGAACCTTACTAATGGATAACAGTCATTCCTTCAAGGTTATTTTTGTCTAGATCTTAATGCACAGGTCATCTTAAAACCTACTTTAAGCCTGGTGTTTTGCAGACCTTTCTGTAACTGCTCAGTTGTCCATTTTTGATAGCCATTTAAACCTGGCTTGGGCTTTTGCATTTGTATATTATTGAAATAGTGTGTGTGCTGTAATGAGGCCTCAGAGGCAAGCTGTGCTTCAGAGTTAATTAACACATCTGTGTTCTTGCTTATTTTCTGCAGGTGGCATGGCAGGATTGCAGTCAATGATGAGACAGTTTCAACAAGGTGCTGCTGGGAATATGAAAGGCATGATGGGATTCAATAATATGTAAAGAAGCCTTAATAAAAATGGACTTGGTTGACTCTTCTTTGCAACTTCAGTGAAAGAATTTGCTTTCTTCCTTTTTACAGTGATGGGGGGAGTGGTCTTTTGAAATCTTATTCAGGCTTCTCAGTTTCTACATCTAATTTCTGAAAACTATTTTTGCTTAAATTAGTTCCTCTCCATTAATACCTGATGGCACAAAGAGTAATTAAATTTAATAAAACAATATCATGATGTAAAATTTTAATATTTAGAGACACTTTTTAATTGTTTACATCAAATGGCAGCCATTATATTTGTAAACAACCCTGATCTTTGGTTATAGTAACATAAAATGTCACAAATATACTGTAAAATAAAATTTAAGTGGTTATAAACAAGGGAATGGCCTGTTTCTTCAGTTCTTTCATAACTGTCCTTTATCAGTATGTAATGAGATTATTTCCTTGTAGTTTAACCCCAGCTGGCAACTAAGCACCATTTTTTCAATTCTCCTCCTCCCCCCCAGTGGGATGGGGAGGAGAATTGAAAAAAGTAAAACTCATGGGTTGAGATAAGAACAGTTTAATAACTGAAATAAAGTATAATAATTGTAATGAAAAGGAAGATAACAAAAAAAGGAGAGAAATAAAAGACAAGTGATGCACAATACAATTGCTCCCCACCTGCTGCCCAATGCCCAGCCAGTCCCTGAGCAGTGATCCACCTGTCCCAGCCAGTCCCCCGCCCCCCCCCAGTTTATGTACTGAGCATGACATTCTATCCCTTTGGCTACTTTGGGTCAGCTGCCCTGGCTATGATCCCACGCAGCTTCTTGTGTACCTGCTTGCTGGCACAGCATGGGAACCTGAAAAATCCTTGACTTGGGATAAGTGCTACTTAATGCACTGATGTTTTAGTTGTTGCTATCAACATTATTCTCATACTAAATCCAAAATACAGCACTGTACCAGCTACTAGGAAGAAAATTAACTCTGTCCCAGCTGAAACCAGGATAGATTTGTTTCTAATTACTCTTGTAACTTATGTTTGGCATAGATACTATAAGAATAATTCAGTATCTGAAATGTGCTGTTGCTGCTCAGGTGTTCTTAGAGCATTTTACAAGGTGGATGTGCTGTGCTGAGGTTTGTACAAAACTTTGTTCTCCAGAATTTTATCGTTCTTTCCCTGTATGTAAAGAATGAAGTGATTAAAAACATGCAGGTATGTAGGTCTTAAGCTGTCTCATATACTGAAGATAATCTTCATACCAGGCTGCCAGTTAAGCAGTTCTTTTGTTATGGAGATAATTTCTAATATGTAGTAGATGGAATTCTGTGTTGGTACTGAACTTAAAGACACAGATAGCTGTATCTGACAGAGCATATTGCCCTAACTCGGCTACAATCTGATCTTAATTTCCTATAGCATTTCTTTTTAATATTTCAGTTTCTATGTTGGTCTCAAAAGGGTGAAATCTATAGGCATACTTCAGAAACTAAGTAGACCAGATGAACCTTGAAATCCAGTGTACACCTTGGCAAATACAGTAAGATATTTCACCCTTAAGGCAAGAAGGTATATTATGAATTTATTTTAATATACTGCAGAATGCTTGGGTTGTAAATGGACACCCGTCTCTGTTGCTTAGATAAGATAAAAATTAAATGCAGTAATTCAAACAAATGTGTCCCTCTGTCAGCCAGTTCTTTGAGAAGGTGGCAGCTAACAGCTGATGGCGAATAGCTTATATAGGTAATTATGCTCCTGTGCTAATAAAACATAGGTGTGCTGTAACTTAGTTTATAATGTGGAAGTATCTTCTGCACCATTAGTGGTATGTGTATTCAATGTATGGAGGATGCTGAAAAATCTTAAGGTATGCCATTTACCTACAGCACTGCATTTTATGTATAGCATTAGTCTGCAAAAGGCTCAGTTAAGTTGGTCTTAGTATTTTAAATGTAACAAAAGGATGAGTCCTTGCATATCACCAGCTTGAGGGCGAGCTGTCCTCAGCTACTTAAGTGGTGTCTGTTTACTAAAACTGTTTATCTTTTTTTATAGTATTTTTCAGTTCTTGAGCAGTAGAAACCAATGCAATATACAAAACCATGCAGCAGAGAGTAGCGAATAAATCTTGGTTTGGAATGTAGTCGGTAGGGGAGAGTGGATGGTTAAGTTGAATGCTTTTGTTGTAAATTAAACATGAACAGTCATATTGAGGATGAACAGTGAAGCATTGTGTGTCTGGACAGGCTCAGTCAGACTGTCAAGTTACCAACAATTAACACTTTCTATTTTCAATTCATTGCATATATTTACTTTTAGTCTTTGGTTCACTTTCCAAACTACTACCACTGCTAGCAGACAGGAAGAGAGCTGTCACTAGCTGTGTGTTGGCAGAGGCAAGAGCAAGTTCAGAAAGCATTTCCTTTGAAGTATAAGGTGTGTTAATTGTTATTTCTAAGGTATATGCTGGAATAAACAAATAGCAGTATATTGCTCTTACCTTAATGTGCTAGGTAGAAAAGACTTTGGAGCCTGCTTGGAATAATTGCCTAAAGATCTCAAGTTTAAAAAAAAAAAATCATGTTGGAGGAACTTAAAAGCCGAGTTCAACTGTATAGGAGCACCTATAAAATTCTCTCACAGCTTTATAAGGGAACAACACTTTGGGAGCGTGGGCAAAAATTTTTGTTATGTTTGTGGATCCTGCAGAGCACAATGTGTAGAAGAAAATCTCAAAGTTGTTGCAGGAGAACAGAAGCTATCATGTTCTATGTGTTCTCTCAGTTTGGTATTCTGAATTAGAGACTTAATTGCATCAAGCTAGGAGAGGCCATGTAAAACACTGCCAGCAAGTACCACGAGTAACAGCTCCCCCAGCGCCATTTTCTTGCATTAGGTTTCTTGTACTCGTCCTCCACAGGATCTCACCGCCTCCTGCAGGAAAGTTTTCTCTGGCATACACGAAGCCTGAGAAGTTAGAGGCAAACAAACTTCACTGGAAGTACTTAGAAGACTGAAGTCTACCTTTCTGTGTATATCTTACTGAAAGCTGTTACTGCTGCTCAGACAAGTTTGTCTGCTGTTTTGGTGTCTGGACACATGGCTAAATGAAGTTCATCGAGAACTTGGAAGTAGGTAAGGAAAGGTTTAGGTAATTAGGCAATTGTAGCGCCCGGGGAAGGCCACTAGAAGGAGCCAATGGACAAGAGAGTAACATACAAGATAAGCTCAACTCTATTTCTGTTTTAGAAGTGCATCCTTACTTCAAAATCGGTGACATCCTGCAGTCATTCTTTTCCTCCGCTATGGGTTGTTAATAAGCTTTGACATCCAGCACACTAATACAGAAATAGGCATCTGTTGCATGTTTACTTTTTTGAAAGATGGTGGTTGTTCTGTAAAAGTGGAAGACCTTCACCAGCTGTGGAATAATTATGTATTGTTGGTGCATGCTTTATCAGTTTGCTGCCTTTTTAAGGAAAATCCTACCCACAGGGCTAGAAGAACAGGTTTGATGGAATTGTTTTGCTCCTTCAAGAAAGAGGAGGACCTCGGCAGTTCAAATATCCTGTTATTACAGCTAGGGCAAAGGATGCATGTAGTTCATGGCAACTATTCTTAAGAGGAAACAGTTACGATGGTCAATAGATAGCTGTGTGATAGGAGCTGGACAATTAAGTATTAACATACACAAATAGCCATGGAAAAGAACAAGCATGGGTTTATTTGTTAACAGTCTTTACCCTTCCTCAGGACTTTCAATATTGACACTTGCTAAATCTATTAAACTTGTCTAAGTTGCAAACGCTAATTGTCTGGGAGGTGAAAGATTAACTCCAGTCTTACTATACAGCTGCTGTAATCGCAGTAGAGGCAAAGGAGAGCAAGTTGGCTGGCTGATGATTTAATGCTGTTCTTTAAGAGCTGCGACCCTATTTCAACCAGTCCTTATTAAACAGAATGTAAACTCTAAGGGTAAGAGGTATTTATGTGTCCTTACATTAGTTTGTTTCTCTGCAGTTTTTGTGTTAATGTACAAACCAGGTGCTCAGTCCTGTGCTATCTAAAATAGTACTCTAATCTTTCTTTCACGTGTTTCTGCAATCATATATTCGATAGTACATTCTGTCTGTCAGCCCTTTTCATAAGGGGAACATTTGCTGCCTTGTGCTAGAATAATTGTAAATCTGGTACCTCTATACTTTACCTGGGACTTTAATTTGTCATGGGATCTGGATAAGGCTTTGTTAATGTGACCAGTAAAGTGCCTAAGAGCCCATCTATGCTACAGACTATCATTCTTTGCCAGCTG